TGACTGCATCGATGCGAGCACTACCTAATACTCTTCAGGGAGGCTAGAAACATCAAACTTTGGATTGTCTACTCGCAAACTATGAATAATTTGCAACGACCAATGACTGGCTTTCCTTTCCACCTCGTAGCTTAGCTGTTTCATATGCTCAACCAGCGAAATGATCTGCCCATGAGCCATCTTGAGCTCTATGTCTTTCGCTTCATTTTCTTCTCGGTGTTCTCCCACAGAGTAGTTCGAGTCTTTTCAATCTCCTTCTCGTGGTCTAGACTCTCTTACAATTCCTTTTCTCTTTGTTGAAGCTCTTACTCTCGTGAGCTCAGATCTCTAGTGAGCATCGCTATTGTCATTTAAAACTCTTTGGTCTAGTCGTCCTTCTTTTGAAGCTCCTGCTTCTGGAACTCCACTACTCATCGAGCAGAATCCCTTTCTGCAAAGAATGTGCTCGCCTGAAGTTGTGCATCACTTACGGCTTCGTTTGAAGTTGTAAGAGCTTGCTTCAATTTGACGATCTCCTCCTTCATTTCATGAAGTTTTCCCCCGAAGTTTATCTTCATTTTGTTGTGCGCAATGTTCAAGGCGAGCAAGGACTACAAAAGAAAAAGGATAAAGAGTTAGTCTTTTTTTTATAAAAACTAAGGAACTTTATCAGCCTTAAAGAGTTTGCAAAGAGAAAGGTCTGTTTTACCTGGCTTTGCATCTGGAGCATAGTGGCCACAAGATCGGAAGGTTTAGAGGCTATGTACCTTTCGAAGGTCGACGCTAGTTGGCACTAAAGAAGGGTAAACACCACTGGCCTTAGGTGATCTGGCATCTGCCCTAGAAGGTCTAATACAGATTGATCTTGACCTCCTGTGGTGGCAACCTCTTCAGTCTGATCCTAGCCAGCTTCTCCTTGAGTGGCCACACCTTCCTTCCCTTGTGAAGCCTTCAGCACACCCTTTAAGGCAATTTTTGAGTTTTGAGGAAGGAAGTTGGGTAGGTTGGAGCCCAACTGGCAATATTTCAAAGTCATCTAACTCAGACTCAGATGCTTCAACTATTATCTTCTTCCTTTTCTTCGAGGCCAATGTCTTATCCCTCGTCAAACGTGTCATAGCACGCTGGGGAGCTTCTTCACGTCACTACACAGTTGGTTGCCTTTCGACACTAGCTTGGGTCCCCATTATAAGGACATCGCTTGAAGTTGGTCCAGGTTGCGAGTTTGGATTCAACCTCAGGAAGATGATTCCCCCAGATCACTTCGATTTCTTTGATTGCATGGCTGCTACATGGCATACGAACATGATTAGCAAAAAGAGTCTAACTATGTAAAAGACTTGGGTTTTTCTGTTTAAGAAAAACTTTCGAGCTGAATCGTCTAAGTATGTTTCAAGAGGGAAGAATTCGTACTTCCGAAGGTTATCCATCGTCATGAGCAGCTTCATATTGCGACCTCTATCAAGAAATTGGCCGAATGCTTGGATGCGGCTGCGATCAGTCAACAGATGCAATCTAGTCATTTTGTTTTCTGCAAAGAAAAGAGTTAGCTTGTACTTTGAAAAAGAATTAAGTAAAAAAAGGACGAACGACCTGAAAATTAGAGAAAAAAACCTACTCAATTCCTAAAATTTACAGATACTTTCATACTTAAAAAAAAAAAAAAAAAAAAATTGGTCTCATAAGCTCCCACATTACTAGAATAACCAAATATTTCTCCCTCGATTGTCGATCGTTTGGAGAGGTAGTACGAATCCTTATCTTTACTCTTCTTTAAGATATAAGCTAAGGTTGTATACAAGCCGAGCCGAGCGAAACACTATGGTGTTCGAAGCTTGGCTCGTGAAAATTTAAAGAGCTCGAGCTTGGGTTCGACGAGCTCTAAAAACCAGGCTTGAAGCTTGAGTTCGTTAAATATTTTGAGCTCGAGTTCAGTCGCGAATCGTTCATTTAAGAGTCCTCAACCCAAAGCAATCCACCAACAATCCTTCAAAACAACCTCAATCCAAAGCCAACCCACTAATCGTCACCAACCATCATCAGATCCACAGCCAAACAGCCACAAATATATGACTCAAAATTCCACCAGCTGTGAGAGAGAGAAGAAAAAAGAAGAGGAGAGAAAAGAAAAGAAAAGAAAAGCAAAGAGAGAGAAGGAAAGAGATGGAAGAGTGAAGGAGAAGTAAGAACAAGGAAAAAGGAGGAGAAGAAAGAAGGAGGAGAAAAAAGATGAAGAAAAGAGAAAGAGAAAGAAGATAGGGTTTAGGAAGTGGGATAACTTATATAGGATATAGTAAATTACATATAACACCCCGATACTTAAAAAAATAGCACTTATACCCTTTCGAGCCATTCACGAGCCTATCGAGTCGAGTAATGGGTGGTTCATAGCTCGGCTCGAGAGGGTACTCGAGCCGCTCGAGCTTGAGCTTGGCTCGACAAAAGTCGAGTTGAACCCTGCTCGTTCAAGCCGAGCTGCGAGCCACTCGTAAGCGGCTTGACTCGCTTACAGCCTTAATATAGGCGCAAGCGACCCGAGTTTGTGTTCGTAGAACGATATATTTATAGCGACAGCTATCATATATGTGTTCGGCATTAGCTGGAATGGCACGACCTGGAAGTGGTCGAGAATCGACTTGATGTAAGGGTGGAAGGGTATTCTCACTCTGCATTTGAAAATGGCTTTTGAGATTGCAACCATTTCCTCGTGAGGCTCTTGGGTAGTGTACGACCTCTTTTGGTACACGTTCATGTCAATCACATACTACTCTAACGCCTCTTTGATTTTGTCCATTGTGGCAATGTACCTTATCACCTTCCGGGGACCTGCAGAGGTACCTAGTAGGTGTGAGCTTTCCTCGTCAACTATTCTCATCTTAGGGATCTCTATTGGCCTTAGAGTCTATAAAGGTACAACATTTAGGGGAGACTCAAACCTTGAAAAATCTACCTCATATGACGACTTAGACGAGGTGGAGGATATCTCTACGATTTCTACCATGGTCGTCAAACTTTTAAACCTTAAAAATAGTCCTTCAAGACTCTTTACCCTAAGTTTTTTGACTTCAAGTGTTTCTTTTGAATACTGCCTAGAAATGCTCTTTCCTAAGACCTACCAAATACCCATGACCACCGTGACTGTAAAAAAAGATCTTTTTTGCAGGAATGTGAAAGAAGAGAAAAAAGAAGAAGTTTCTTTACCTCTTGGTTGCCTGAAATGGGTGATCTGTTGTAACATTGGGTTCGCATGAACTGGTGGAGGAAGAACAAATTTTTTGGGAGGTAGGAAAACGTTGTTTTTCTCTCTGAAAATTTTTGGATCTCTTAAAAACTAAGGCAAAGTTAGGGTTCTATGGCGAAGAAGACGACGCTATAGCTTCTTTATAAGCGACATTTGAGCGTGAATTCATTCTTGGCTGTAGATCATGACCACGTGTCATCGATCCATGAGAAGAGTAACCCCCACGCTTCGTAGAAACCAACTGACGTTTCTCTTTATTGAGAATGTCAATCGCCAGCGTGATTATCTCCTCCGCATTTAATGCACCTTCATCTATATATACACCAAAAAGGAATGTCGTTTCAGCTTTACTTGCATTTAATGCTCATGGCTGACACTTATTGCACGCAAAGACATGCCTGTCAGATAAAGATTACTTTATTGACCGAGCCAACTGTCATGCGTAACAAATAACATCTGAAGAGATCGTTCAAAAAAGACATTTATTCAGCATGTCCAACGCGAACACCAAACAAGATGATTCTGAATTTTCAGCCCAAGAAAATTCTAAGTGTTCTCTAGTCGTGAATGACAGTTAGAGTTCAAAACGCCTCCTGATGACTCATGACAAGATCAAGCTCAGGTTGGTAGATCTCAATAAATGATCACATCAGGTTGCTTGTGTTACTCTCAAAGCATAGTTCACAACCTTCATTTAGTTTGCAAATCAAATCAAGACAGCACTTCAGAAGTCAGATCAAGTTGTTGACTCCAGGTTGTCTGCAACGATGTGATTATACCTCAGCATGTAGCTCGAGCAAGCATTTCTAAAGTCAAGTCAAGTCGCGGCATAATCATGAAGTTTTCAAAATCCAATTCCTTGAATCTCAAGAATTGGGAAGCTTCTATTATGCCTAAAAAATCAGAGCTGACATAAGCTTACATTAGCGAGCACCAATCAAAGTCCAAAAAGGCTTTACACCACCCAAAATCTACCACATCGCCCCAAGACAAAGAGAATACGGTTGTCACCAACTCAGCAAGCTCAAGTTTTGAGTGTGAATGAATGTGGTCCGCACAACTGTCCAAACCCCATATAATTTAAGGATATTTCCTAAGTTATCAGCCAATGGGACGTAAGAAATGATTTGTACGACACCTAGTCACTTACAGACTTGTAATCATTGCCTTAAACTCAGCAGCTATAAATAGGGGACTCCCCCTCACAAAATTGGGATCTCTGATTTTCAACAAAACAAATAGCAAAGACAAACCTACGGGAAAGACATTGGCTTAATATTCTCTCTGAATACCAAGTTCCTGTAATTTTGTTCACAGTTCGCGACCTCTTGTGCCTTGGCTAATAACCAAGAACATTCATATAAAAGAAAACAGTGGATATAGGAATCGCTTTAAGCATTCGAACTACTAAAAAATTCTCATTGTCTCATTTATTTTTCAGTCTTTGCATTCAACTATGACCATAACCTAAATCTCAAATTGTTCACGTGTAATTTCTAAGACTCTCTTAGCATTTTGCACATATCAGACCATTAGTGTCAAAATCAAGTATCAACAACCTTTCATCTAATTTTGTTTTTCAACTTTTATCTCTTCGTTCTAAAAAGTAGGAAAAACTACTCTAATGCTCGAGTGACTTCACTAACATTAGAATAAAAACCGTAACTCCAAATGTCTTTTTTGTGTTCTCAAAGTCTATAGATATGTCTTTTTGACTTCAATCTTTGGCAATATAGTCGATTGAAATTTTTTTTTTCTTTTTTAAAAAAAAAAAATGCTTTATTTACGTTGGCAAATGCCAATTATTGTCTTGAGACTTACAACTTAATTACAATAAGCAAATTACAAAATGGACAAGCTTCTCCAAGAATTGTCTTTCAACTAGATAAATGGAGCTCGCATTGAGAGATGCTACACAAGCACAACAAAATAATCGAACATTATACATACTGTTTATTGGCTCAGTACTTTCATGATTTAGTAAAGTACCAAATGCAGTTGGAAGAAGTTTAAGCATTAAATATAGTGTCATGGCTTGATCTCGGGAAGACGCGAAGATGGAGTCCACCTTCAATATGAAGAGTCAGAGCAGTTCTATACTTGACTGGTTTACTTTCATCATTGAGCTTGAATTTGTAGCTTCCAAGCAGGATCATAGAGAAAATTTTCATTTGCCTGTAAGCAAAATCCTTTCCTAGACAGATTCTCGGACCCCCCTGTTCAACATAATTCATCCAATTGATTAGCTTGTCTAAATAAGAGGTTCTAAAAATTTTAATAACGAGGCAATTTAGTTGCATCATCAATCTCGAGTTACAATATAAATGAAAAAAAAAAGTTTTGTTGAGTGTTAAAAACATAATTTGTCAAATGTTATGATCAGACTCTTATCTAACCTGGAAGGCTGTGAAGATGAAAGAGCTCTTGGGCTGGAAGTGACCCTTTTCACTGAGCCATCTCTCTGGTCGGAATTCCTCTGCATCATTACCCCATAAATCTTTCATCCTGCCCATTGCATAAGGTACATATGCAATCATATCTCCTTTTTTCACACTGTAACCATCAGGCAGTGTGCCGTTGGAAAAACAAACCTTCGCATCCTGCGACACCAACCACAAATACTTGTTTCAAACAAAGCCAATGATGGTCTTAATATATTAATCAACCAGGTGTTGGAGGGTGAATTAACAACATTTGTCGAGTTCTACCTCTGCTTATGCATTGTACTTACCACCGGAACTGCGGGATAGAGTCTGAGTGTCTCAGACAAAGCTGCGTGGAGATAGTGCATCTTGTCAAGGGTTTCTTCATTTACTCTGGCTGCAAGTTCCTCAATGCTTGAATTACTACTCACTTGGGTTGCTTCTATTATTTCTTTTGCAATCTTTTCTTGTATATCAGGGTGCTTACAGAGCAAGTAAAAAAACCAAGAAACAGTGGTAGCAGTGGTGTCTTTTCCAGCAATTACAAAATTGAGAACTATGTCCCTCAAGTATTTTGGATCGGTTTCTTTCAGTTCCAAAAACCTTGACAGAATGTCTTCTTTCTTCCCCTGGAATATTGATTCGTTAGTTAATCACACAGATATTACCAAAACTTTGAACTAAAACGCAGATGGTTCGAGTTATTATACTCACAGGTTGTAAATCATCATGTGGATTATTGAGTCGCTCAATTTTGCTTTTAATTAATTTATATACAAATTCATCAACGACTTTGATATTCTTTCTCAATTCAGCCTCTGATCCAATGTTCAGGAACCGCTTAATCTTCCAAAAGAGATCAGCATATCGAAAAGAAGTAATAGCATTTGCTTTATCAAAAGCATAAGTGAATCGAGCGCCTTCCTCATATGTTCTAGACAAACCATCTAAGTCTATACCCAATATGACTTTAAACACAGAGTCTAAGGTTGCTTTCATGAAAAGATCCTGCAAATAAACTCATAATTATGGTGAATCAATCATCAGATAAACGGAATTAATACCTGGTCTTGTAATATAAAAACTAATTTATTAAGAAGCCCATACTTGCATGTCTAACGATCGGTTTGATGCCGAAGCTTCAGATATTATTCGAGCAAGCTTTACAGCAGTGGTTCTAAAGACTACACTGCTAAAGTCCCTCAGAATCTTGGTGGAGAATTCATAGCTTGATAGTTTCCTTTGATGTCGCCACTTTTCTCCGTCTACAGAGAAAATACCATCACCCAGTAGATCTGTCAAAATGTTATATTGGTACAATCCCTGCCTCCATGAACGAAGTATAATAAGAATTTTATGATAATCATACACGATGTGTTCAAACTTGTTTTGGGTTGAGAATAAAATTACTAAAGGTGTAGTAGCATATCTTTTTTACTTGAGTTTCAAATAGTAAAAACTTATAGATTCAGTGCAAAATTATAGCTAATTTTAGATCATTTCCACAATTATTTTAACTACATCTTTTGGAGGAAAAGCTCAGCCTTCAAACTTTCTGCTTCCATTTGATTCTCAAGATAAACAAATTCATATGGAAAAGAAGAAGATGTCTCCATGCAAAATGAAAGTCAGCAGAGCTCTGCTGGTTTCTTTCTCATTCAAAAAACTTAGTAGCAATTAAACATATAACTGGAAATGAGTAAAAATTAGAAGAAAATGAAATCGATTTATCAATTTGGAATATTTTCAAATAAAGCTATAATAGGATATTACCTTGCCATAGTTTGGGAAGTTTGTTTTGAGCATGTATTCAACAACTGCAGGGTCAGTGGTGAAAATCTCACTTCTGAACAAAGTAGCCAATCTGTAAGTTTTGTTTTTGCGTGAAAGGTCAGTCATGAAGTCATGGAGCCTGTAGAAATTGAGTATTTGGTTGAGGTAAGAGCTGCCGATTGGGTGATATTTTTTTGCCTTCTGAGGCGATTTTGGGAGACGTAAGAGGATAAATATGGCCGATATCAGAGCTAAAGCTGCTGCTGTGATGGTGATGAAGAAGGAAGAAAATTCATTTAGGTCGATCATGATTAAGGTTAAGCAATGCAGAGAAGAATAGGAATGAGATTTCGGATTTCGGTGGCTAATCAACCACAAGTCTTGTGAGATATATAGAACAAAATATTTGTAGTATCATTGTCAAAATTAATTGATTGTGCTATTCAGACTTTTCCTGCAGGCTTTATTATTATTTTATCTTTCTTTTTATCGGCATTTACCCACCTTTTATCTATTTTGAGAAGGCCCGTTACTGTAACACCTTGAAAATGGCAAACTATTATAAAAGAATGAATTTTTATATTTTAATTTATTAAAAAATAATTAATAATATGCACGCGGACGAAAACAAGACAAGATTTGAGGAAAAAAAGCTGCAAATTATGGGCAAGTTTTATTGTCTGACAGAATTAGATGACATAAATGCCCTTCCAAAATAAAAGAATACCGATTTTACAAAAAAAAAAAAAAAAAAAAAAAAGAAGAAGAAGAAGAAGAAAGAAACACGAAAGCCTTGCATAAATTTTATATAACATGGTAGTTAAATATAAAATATGTTTAATCCAAAATACAGAGGATTGCGATACTAAATCTATTAAAATAATATGGAAGTTAAGATATCTATTCATAGTGTCATCAGATCAATCATAGGAATGTAGGATTGCAAATGAACCGAACACCCTAGTTCGATAAGTACAAAGGGGTGTTCGAACTCGAACGAACACAGAATGATCGTTCAAGTTCGTTCGATTAACAAAACGAGTTGTTTGTGATCGTTCGATAAATTGTTCGAATAACTCGTTTGAATAACTTGTAACTATCTCTCTCTCTTTTAGCATGGATGTCAGTAGAAACACCTGTGACCTCTCACTCCCTATCATCGATTCATTTATGCAAAAATTGATTTCATTTTTATCGTAAGTTGATGATACCCAAGCATGCAAGCGAAGTCTAAGAGAAAAAGAATATCATCAAAAAGCCGAGTGCTTGCTTGCAAGAATCGACATCGAAAAGTTCACTCTCAATCACAGCCTAAATTTGGGGTACAAGGGCGGATTTCGGGTTATTGTTAAAAGCAGAGTCCTTTGTGCCGGCCGGAAAATAATTTTAAAATAAAATTTAATACCTTCCAAAATTGCAAAACGGCAAAATAGGGGCTACTGTGTTGATCTCTTTTGGCCTCTAGAATCTAAAATCTGGCGCTAAACGGAAAAGGGAAAATGGGGGCTAAGGCTCGTTGTTGAGTGCTAAGGCACTATTGCATTGAGCAAAATTGTAGAAAATAATTAGGGTTGCAAGTGAGGCTGTCACAATTTGCAAAAGGGAAATTGTGGAATTGGGTTTGGATTTTTGTTTTCAAATTGGGGTTGGGTCGGTTTAGTTTGTTGGTTATTGGGTTTATATATATATATGTTATTAAATTTGTCATGCTATATATAATTTAATTATACAATATGTTATGTTCATCAATTTACCATACTATATTTATTATTTATTAATTTAAATGTTATCTTGTAATATTTAATTATTGATTACATTTAGAAAAATATGAACCTATTATGTTATGAGATTTGCTATGTTATATATCACTTCATTATACAATCTATTATGCTATTAAATTTGTAATGCTATGGATCATAATAATTTATTATTTATTGATTAAAATGCTATAAACTTATGTATTTGATTATTGATGACATTTGAAAGAAAAAAAATCCAAACATATTATATATAAAAAAAAAAGCATCATAATATTTTATTATTGATTACCATTAAAAAAAATTCATCCAAACTAAACCAAACATAATATAATAAAGAAAAAAAATGAAAAAAATATAAATATAATATTAATGCAACTCGACCTAAGGACCTTAAAGTCAAAAAAATTGCATTTTTGACGTGAAGTCATACAAAATGCTTGATAAACTTAGCACCATATAAATATATATAATAATGTATATCATGTTTTTGAACATAAATGAACAAATAAGCAAACAAGTTGTTTACAAACGGATGGATCACTCTAACATAGTATATTCGCGAACATAATAAAAAACACCTCATGTTCGAACTCAAATCAAACACATTATTGAACGGACATCGAATTGTTTGCGAACAGTTTGTTATCGAGTTGAATGAAGCTATTATCAAATGAACATCAAGCTATTCGTAAATAGCTCAGTTCGTTTGCAGTCCTATAAGAATGTTACAAGTAAAGGTCAATTTATTAATCCTTATATTGACTGTTCTTTAACCTAATAAAAAATGAATTAAAGAAATATAAATCATCAAGATTCAATTATTTAAATAATTTCAATTATTATTGATTTATAAAATATTATAAATGAAAGAGATTTATTTAACTACTTTAATTAATGGATTGAAATGAATTTGTGATAAGTGTAATTAATAAATATAAGAAATATATTATTAAAATTCTAGAAACTTAAACTTTGATTTAGTAATGGGTAATACTATACTTATAACTCAATTTCACAAACTTTTTTTCATAATCTTAATGTGATAATTTATAATTGATTAACTCACAAATGGTTCTGTTTACTCATTATAAATCCCATTTATCTAATTATAAATTAACCAAATATAAATAATAATGTCGGAGTGTAAAACAAAATGTCTGCGCTTGAGTTGTTTATCCTTTAGCAATTAGCACAAGTCACGTCACTAATTAATTTATTATTTGATGTTTGAAGCGTATGCATTTGCGTCATATTTGCATAGAAGCTTCTTTCGATAGAAGCACAGGCCGTGAATAATGTAGATAACTTCTCTTTAAATGCAAACTTTTTCTGTTTGACTTTTACAAGTCATAATTACTTATGGGTCCAACGTTTGAAGATAATATTGATTGAATTTACACATCAATATATAATTTTTGCTGTTGTTACTAGAGAGGAATATATTAACCAACTATAGAGAGGAATTTTTAAATGCTACGAGATTTATTATTAAATTATTATTTAAAAAATGCCTAGTGAATCATGTGAAATTATAAATCAAGTTGGAAGGATAATGGCAACGAATCAACGCGAGCTATGCTGTTATTTGATTTTACTTTAATTATACCACAAAAAATAACGTGTAATCAAATATATGATTAAAATTAAATCACAGTCATTTAAAATTTAATTATTTAAAAGCTGTATTTTAATACCTGTTTCTATGCATATTAATATAATTTGAATCAATTTCTAATCAAATCAGCTAATCCATTATCTATTCTAATTTGCTGGGTTTAAATGAACAATAATTAAGAAAAAAAAATGAATGCATGTTACATATTTATTGACAGACGAGGGCAGTTTAATACCAAATACTTACTATACTTATTTTAAATTAAAACAGATAACTCAAGAGGCTTCATCAACTCTTGCCACGTTGTCCACATACTAAAATACAAATTATTTATTGAATTCACACATATTGTTTTTTTCTTCTTTGTGTAAAAGGGACAATGAGCAAAGAGAAAAAAAAAAACGCACTTAAGATAATTTTGACGAAAAAAAAAACGTATTTCTGAAATAAATTCATATTTGGACAGAAAATTGTTAGAATTTGAGGTGGGCTTGACTCCTCACCCAATAAGGCCTTGTTGAATGGGAGGATTACCCCCTCTTATAACCCAATAGGTTTGAGCGTGTTTAATCGATGTGGGACTCCAATACTGTCCCTTACGGTCAAGCCCATATGTTGGGTTATGTCTGTCATTGGAGGTAGTTATTAGCTCTAAATCCTAACCTATTGGTCAAGCGCTCAGCTCAACTGAACCTGAGCTCTGATACCATGTTAGAATTTGAGGTGGGCTTGACTCCTCACCCAATAAGACATTGTTGAATGGGAGGATTACTCCCTCTTATAACCCAATAGGCTTGAGCGTGCTTAGTTGATGTGGGATTCCAACAAAAATAATTCTTTTAATTGTTATAGAGTAATTTGCTAATAACTAATAAGCCCCCACTTATTTTTAATTAATGATTTTGATTTTATACTTCAAAGTTCAGGCGGAAAAACTGAGAAGAATTGAACTACTACTGGGTAATCTAACGATCAATTAAGACTTTTAAGTGTATTATTCAAAACGTCATGAATTCGATTTACCTGAGTTGTTAATAGGGGTGACAACTAAGAAGATTTACCCAATTATCAATTTTAGGACCTCAAGAGATTAGTTGAAGTACGTACAAACTAGCCTGGATACTCCAAGTCACAAAAAAAAAAAAAAAAATGAAGTTTCAATTGATGAAAGTTTAGATTATGCTAATTGGTTTTTATTAATTTGAAGTTTTGAACTTCCATTTGTTATTTATTGTAGAGTTGTTAAAGATTATTTTTAATCATAAACAATTTTCTACCATCTTTGAGTTTGGAGAAAGGTTAGATATGTAATATGGGATCTGGTAAAGTGTGAGTTCGACAAATTGGGTTTAAGTTTGAGGTGGAAGAGCGGTTTTTTAAAGATGAGTTAATCACCTTTTTTTTTTTTTTTTTCCCCTCTTCAACATATTTTCAATAGAAAATTATTTTATGCCGTCAAAAAAATTACTAACGACTTAGGGCTAATTAGGTAATTTCATACTTTACCCAACACCAGATATCACCATTGTGCATCACCACTGCAAGTTCTTTTCAGAAAAATTCAACCACCGCGACCCAACCACCACAAGTACATCACCACAACAAATTCAAGTAAAATTCGACCATCAAATCATACATTTACTCATAAAGCAAATTGATTTGTTTTCCGAATTGAAAAAAAAAATTAATGAACACCCAAATAAACAAAATCTCATGCGTACAAATAAACCCTCCAATAAAAAAGTGATGAAATGAAAAAGTAAGCAAAAATTAACCCAAATTAATCACTTTTCTTAACCTATAACACCCAACCCAACAAACAATCAAACCAATTGCGTAGCACCTCAACAAACAAAAACAAATCACGGCGAGGTTCGGGAGGTTAGATCGAGATGCGACAGGGTACGATGGCTGGGCTATTGTCAAAGGAAAGAGGAGAAGAAGTTGTGCGATGACTTGGGGAGGGCAAAGGAGGACGTGTGATTTCTTTAATTGCA